AGATGGCCACCAGCAAAGCACCTTGCTTGGTGAAATTAACTTTCATAAAACTTAAATAATAAAATCAAGATCGGAGGAACGAATTGCTTCCTGTCACTGCAAGATGTGTCTTCTCGAATGATCTCATCTGGAACCACGTGAAAGCTTGGTCCTAATGATGTGAGGGGCTTCATAAGCCTCAAAAAGCTTCAGTTGCCTTTTGGTGCCTTTCCCAAGTGGAACAGGCAGGATGTCAATACTGGTTCCAGTCATTTTGGGAAAGCAGGCTGGGCTGTAGAAGTGGAAGGGATCGTGGCTCTCACTTGGGTTTCTGCCTCCACATTTGGTGTGGATGCCGTTGGGGGAAACCACTTGTATCTTAGAGGCTGAAGCCTGGCTCCTCAATAGACACAATAAAGGCCAAACCAGCGGTATCTTAGAGGCTGAAGCCTGGCTCCTCAAAGCAATAGACACAATAAAGGCCAAACCAGCACATTTCAGACTTGTACTAGGAATACTCAATGCTCTGGCTTTTACACTGGTGTCGTTTCAAAGAGTCAGATCTTTTGGAGAAGTCTTTATTTCTTCTTCCTTCTGACTCAATTCTGTGATTTCCTGCTCTCTAGACAAATATCACAGCTGGAGCTGCTGGGACTGCATCGGGGATCTCCTAGTTTGGGGTTCAATCACGCTAGATGCTTTACAAATTCAAAGTTCCAGCGTACAAACACATGTATCGTCCTTCAGGACCAGATCTCATGTCTGTCCTTAACAAAAGCCAGCAGGAGACATGTCAGAAGAGTGCATAAAAAGTGTGCACCAGACAGATATGTGATGCTCTGCCCTCCCAGTCTGGAAAAAGATACCATTTTATGCCCTACAGCATGAGTTTTAATAATCTTTCAACAATGTTTTGGTATAATCATCAACTATTATATTTCCTCTGAATTGTCTTGTCATCTTTATAAATGCCCACTCCATTTTTTAATCATGCTGGACCCCCAGAAAAATGTGTGGCGATGAATTGCACAGTTGAGATTTACGCTGTATGTGGTGTTTAGCCCCAAAAGTTTACAAATAAAGAAAAGATGGAAGAAATCCATTTTATAGAGAGGATTAGGCCAAAATTTCAGTTTTCTGAGAGTGCAAGGCTCTAAGAGGATTTGTGAAACACTGGGATCGATGTGAGGTTGGCATGTGTAGATTGTTAAAAACAGTGCTTTCTGCCCATTCCCATCCACAGGCTCCTGATATTTGTAAATCCTCATCCGAAAGGTAAGATCGATGTCACCCATCTCCTGCCATCTACATCTTACCTGTCCAGATTAAACTAATCCATGGGCTCTGTCTGCAGTCAGCAGAGAGACGGATACCCCAGGGGAAGATTCTTACAAGAAGATAGCTCAAGGTAGATAAGAGGAACCGCCTTTTGGCAGCTCCTCTTGCTGTCATTGAAGCTAGATCAGGGCGAGATCTCACATGATAGTGAGCTCCATTCCCCCAGCTCAGACAGGGGAAAACTAGTCCTAAACTTTGTGACAAACAGGTGTTAGCTCACAAAATCTAGGGGAGAGAGAGATTCTGCAACAACCCCCAGCAGCCCAGTCCAGGGTTTGCTGTCCCTGCTGTCACATGGATAGGACAAGAGGAAACAGCCTCAAGTTGAGCCAGGGGAGGTTTAAGATGGATATTAGGAAACATTTCTTCACCAAAAGCATTATTGAGCATTGGAAGAGGCTGCCCAGGGCAGTGGTGGAGTTACCATCCCTGGAGGTATTTAAAAGCTGGGCAGAAGTGGTGCTGAGGGACGTGGCTTTTTCAGTGCTGGGTTGTTGGTTGGACTCGATGATTGGAAAAGCCCCTTCCAACCTTGACAATTCTCTGATTCTTTGGAGTTTTGTTATTGTACCTTCATTCATTACTTCTTTCTGTGCTCGAGATTTGCATTCCTAGTCTGTGGGGAATTCCCAGTCTGTTTGCAGCTCCTTTGCTGCAGCATCCTGTGGGGAGCAGCTAGACGTGCTCCTCCAGTTTGGGAGGGCAAAGCACTTCTGGATGGAGTCATATAGATTGGGGGTTGGAAGGGACCTTAAAGATCATCCAGTTCCAACCCCCTGCCCTGGGCAGGGACACCTCCCACCACACCAGGGTGCTCCAAATCCCCTCCAGCCTGGCCTTGAACCCCTCCAGGGATGGGGCAGCCACAGCTTCTCTGGGCAACCTGGGCCAGGCTCTCACCACCCTCAGACTGAAATATTTCTTGGTAAAGTTAAGTCTGCAGAAGCCCTACTACATGCTGGTAATTAACCCGAGTCAATTAATACAGGTTTTCCAGCAGGAGACTAAACTTATGGCTTAGCCCCATTCCTTTCCACAAAGGACAAAGACCAAGGGACCACCAGGAAACTTCCAGTCTCTCCATTCCTAGGCCAGAATTTGGTAACGTGCAGGTGGCAATAAATCAGGCGAGCAGTGCAGCAGACCCATTTCTGTCCTCAGTTCCACCATAAAGCTGAAAATAAGAGGTTCTGTGTTAGCGGTGCATCGTGGTACAGTGCAGATTATTTATAGGGTTTCAAGCAGAGAAATATCAAAATAATAATTGTTGCTGTGGATTTATATTCTATTCGTAAGAGGTATTTTACCCTTTATTTGCTGCACTGAGTTTGATTTGCTGGACCCCTTAAAGTCCCTTCTAAATGTCTTAATGTTCTTCGGTTTAAATTAGGCTTTTAAAGGTAGCAGTTGAGCGTACTGCTGAATTTCTGTTTGTGTTTGTCTGGCAGGATAGGTTGTAGTTAAGTGTGGTGTAAGCAAAGAGAAATTGCTGTACGCAAACCATAATTTTCATGTACTTACTGTCTTGAGTGCAGTGATGAAAGGGATGTATCACGGCATTTTTATCGCGTCAGCCGCTCTCTTTGTCTCTCTACCTGAAGGGTGGCAAAGGCCCCCCTACCCCCCCTTTTCATCTGGAGGATTATGAGGCCATTATGGTAAACAGCACCACCAGGTTGGGTTGACATTCTTGGAGCTTTAATCTTTTGTTCTAAGTTTTGAAGCGTTATTTGTGGTTCTCTTGTTCCCCTGTCTCATGACTTGATGTTTAGTGAGAGCAGAGTCGTTTGGGAAAAATCATTAAACTCAGGAGGCAGGGAGAGGGAATGGGAACAAGGGGCCACCTGAGTGTGACCCCCTGGTTGGTGATGACCCTACAGGTCTGGAGCTCAGTTCTGGTCACACAGCAGGTACCTGGATCCCTACTTCTGCCACCTTCACCCAAGCAAAATCTACTTGAGCGTGGAAAAGGACATACTGCCCAGTTTCATACCTTTAATCCCAAGCCGGGGGCCCCTCAGCTGGTGGATGAATTGACTGTTGAAAGAACATGAGGTCAGAGGAGGTGAGGAAAGAGACACTGACCCTTGTTTTCTGTCTGTATTTTAAGCCATGCCTCAGTTTCTTCACCTTTAGCTTGGTTACCTGAACCCAGGAATTTATTCTGGGAAGTATCTGCAGGGTCCCAAGCTGGGAGGAGTTAGAAGAAGGGGCTTTGCTTGTCAACCTCTGCTCTCTCAGCGTGTTTCCCCGGCTGGGGGTTGCCTCTTATCTCTGTGCTAGGACGGGTGTAAATGAAGTGCTTCCCATTTGAGGGCTCCAGCTCCTGAATGCAGAGAAAGCTAATTCCTCTTGGGTGAACTCCAATTAAAGAAAAATCTCATTTTATAGTTAGTATATTTATAGTATCCTATATTTGCCTTTAGTGATTAGTGTGTATTCCTTTAATATTGAAATAATATTCATATATAAAGCAGAACACACAAGAATGTATCTCAGTAACAGTGAGGATAGTGATATGATTTTTGGATGTAACATTTTTATTTCCTCTCATTTCTTATTGTCGCTCTTTCTGGTATTCTTTGCCCAGAATTTCAATCCTTCACCTTTATGCCTGTGTTTATTTAGTATTGCTGCTTTTTCTGCACTAGCAATATGTATTTATTTATTGACTCATCTCTTATGCGGTTTAGGGTATTGCCTTCAAGAAAAATCTGAAGCCAGCAAGGGTGGGTCCCTCAAGGCAAATGACAGGGGATGTCACAGCTCAGGCTGCGATTTTAAATTCCAACATCTAAAATGAATTGCCCTGCCTTGGCCCTTCATACCGAGCGTGTCTGTCTCTTATATCATACGCAAATATTTCACGGAAAAGAAGAGAGAATGAAATTTAATTACTTGTTTCTCCTTTCTGAGAGCAGCAGCATCTTTCCATTAGCCTGTGCTGCAATGTATTTTGGCCAGTTTGGTGGTCCTACCCGAAGAAAGCCCCTTCAGCTGGTCATTGGATATTGTATGGAAATTAGTAGGGACCTGAGTTGTCACCTCTCCCGTGTGTCCGTGAGGAGATGGAGCCGTGGCCACGCTGTCTGCTGGTCCTGTGAGCTGCAGGGTGTACAACCCATACAGGGGAAAGAAAGCATCTGCGCTGTATTCTTTAGTTTCTTCATGCACAAGGAGATGTTGACCCAAAGGAGATGACTCTTTTTGATCCAACAGACCCAACATAAACTCTACAAGTTCATCTCAGTTGGCAGCCAAGTCCCAAGGCGTTCAGCAGGGAGGTGGGTGGGGGATTAAGAGGGCTGCTTTTCAATGGGCAGGATCTGGCTTGAAGAGAACAACATGCTTTCTGTGCCAAATAAGAAGATTGTTACTAATTCCTTTCTTCCAGGGTTTAAAAACCAGCGTGCTGGCACCTGTCCCATATGTTACACATTACTTCCCGAGCACAGCCACGGGGTTTTCTGTCCATAAATCCTCAGCTGCAGTTTGACAGCAAGGTGAAAGATGATGATGGAGAAGGAAACGTAGTGTCAGGGGGGCATCAGGATGGGGACCACCCTTCCCAGAGGGCACGTAGTCATGTGAAGATCTCAGTTGGCTTGAAGGTGGTTGTCAGGACTGGGCAACGCCCCATATGTAGCCCTTCTACACCTTTCTCTCCCTCTTGTGTTTTGCAGCATCCCCTTCAATTAAGCTTCTCGTGGATGACCCGATAGTGGTGAACCCTGGAGAAGCGATCACCTTAGTCTGTGTGACGACAGGAGGGGAGCCAGCCCCCAGCCTGACGTGGGTGAGGTCTGCCGGTGTCCTGCCCGAGAAGACGGTCCTGAATGGCGGCACTTTAACCATACCTGCCATCACGTCTGAAGATGCTGGCACGTACAGTTGCATCGCCAATAACAATGTTGGGAACCCTGCAAAAAAGTCCACCAACATCATCGTAAGAGGTAAGTCAAGCTGGCAAACTATTGAACTTTATCTTGGAAGATTAATTGGATCCTAATCAGTCAGGATAGCAATGTTCGCGTGGTGGTGTCCCATGTTTCCAAATGTGTTTCTGGTCATTTCTAATAATGGGTCACATTGTGTCTCCGTAATGTTTCTTTTGAATGGGTCACGACAACCCCATGAATGCTACTGGCTGGGGAAGAGTGGCTGGAGCTGCCCAACAGAAAAGGACCTGGGGATGCTGGTCAACAGTTGGATGAATATTAGCCAGCAGTGTGCCTAGGTGGCCAAGACCAACAGCATCCTGGTCTGTACCAGGAACAGTGTGGTGAGGAGGGCTAGGGAGGTGAGGCCCTGCCTCAAGTGCTGTGTCCAGTTTTGGGCCCATCACGACAAAGACATTGATGTGCTGGTGTGTGTCGAGAGAAGGGCAATGGAGCTGGTGTGGTGTCTGGAGGACAGGGCTTGTGAGGAGAGGCTGAGGGAGCTGGGGGTGTTCAGCCTGGAGAAAAGGAGGCTGAGGGGAGACCACCTTGCTCTCTCCAACCCCCTGAAAGGAGGGTGTAGCCGGGGGGGTTCGGTCTCTTCTCCCAAGTCACAGATGATGGGACAAGAGGAAATGGCCTCAAGTTGCACCAGGGGAGGTTTAGGATGGATATTGGGAAGAATTTCTTCACTGAAAGGGTTACCAACACTGGAACAGGCTGCCCAGGGAAGTGGTGGAATCTCCATCCCTGGAGGTATTTAAAGGTGGGTAGATCTAGCGCTTAGAGATATGGTTTAGTGGTGGGGTTTGTCTGTGTTGGATTGATGGTTGGACTCAATGATCTGAAAGGTCCCTTCCAACTTTGGCAATTCTATGATTTTGTGTATGAGAGTGGTGGTTTGTGCCAGGCCCAAGCCCCTTAGCTGGACCGAAGGTGGTGTGGTGCCCCTTTGTATTGTGAAGGTGCAGCAGCTCTGCCATCCAAACTGGAGACAAATGATCGCCAAAGGCCACCACGTCCTTTGGCCATGGTGATGCCCTGCATGCACTGTCCCGGCAGTGAATGTGTCCTGAGCTCCTGGAGAAGTCATTTCCTCCTTCACCCTTTCCTTCCTCCTCATCAGCTGAAGGTGTTATAGAAATTAAGGCTGCTGTGCCCGCTGTGAACCTGCTGCCATCAGACCACCGCTCCTTGGGTAGGAGCTTTAGATTAGTACCTATGCTTTAATTATACTAAATAGCAGGATAAATGTCTGTTTTAGATAAAAGTAGGAGAAGAGCGCTTGCAGACAATTACTGCCAGGTGGAGAGAAACCCTCCCCGGGTGTTTATTGTTTTCTGGATAACCCCAGGGACATGGCCAGTTGGTTTGAAGGAAGACTTCGATTGGCTGATAGGCATCATCAGGGTGGATTAATCTACCTGAACCAAACAGTTCATCTGAAACTAATTTTCTGTAATCTAATCTGTGAAAGGTAGTGAAACAAACTCCCACGCTTATAGGAACTTTAAATAATAGCATGTGATTAATCATACTCGGGAGAAACTGCTGTATAAAGAGCCAGTGGTGTGAATGTTTTATGAGAGCCATAACCCCTGTTCACTTCTTCTTGCCCAACGTATCACACTCTTCAGCAGGACGAAGAATTAGAAGCTATTTCTGTCCTGGGGGTCAGGGAGAGAGCATTGCATCAGCCTAGGTCTGCAGGAGTTTATGAGAGATGTCCACAGATTTATTTGTAATGTTGTGTTTCCATTTGAATTTTTGACATTTGGCTTCGGGGTTTTGTTGTCAAGAGGCAAAAGCAGTCTCGTTTCAGGAACGTCGTGTCGACGTTAATTTGCTGTGATTTATGGCGGTGATGAGGTTGTGAAGGGGAGATGTGAGTGAAACACACACTCGGAATAAGCAAAGGGAGAGGAAAGGCTTTGTGTGAAAGAAATCTCGATATTTTAATTGACCCAGCAGACAGCACCAGAGAGCCCAGAGGAAGAGCCACAGTCCCCAGCTCCCTGCAGATACAGATACCGTGAGTCATAGCATAATAATAATATGCCCTCACATTTTTATTTATAGAAGACCATGCCTATGAGATGCCTAGGAGCTGCGAGTTGTCGAACAAAATATCATTAAAGCACCTGAGGTGGCTTTTTGCTTTTTTCCTCTCTGCTGTGTGGTCCTGTTAAGTCTGAGAAGGGACCACATCGAGGAGCAACCCATTCAGTAAATGAAGCATGGCTCCCTTCCAGTCCATTGCTGCCTGCTATGATCTTCCCCTTAGTATTTCTGTTAAAGGGGAAAAAATGTCTTCAAGAAAAAAAAAAAAAAATCTTTATTCCAGTCTTGGTTGATTTATCTTTACTAAAAGCAATGCTGAGTTCAGGAGTGAAATATGAGACAAATTCATATCAGAGTTTTGATTTTTCCTTTGTGTATATATTTCTTAGCGTTCTGCCTGTAGCTCGTTGCTTCTTTTTATTTCGTCTCTCTTTTGTTGTTGCTGTGTATCAGGATCTTCACACAGCAGCTGAGGAGAAAAGAGCATTTGCGTGAAATGGCATCTAAGCCTTGCAGGAGAGGCATTTGGTAAATGGCGTTCACGTCTTCTGTCAGGTGGACTACCAATCCCAGGATTAGGCAATAAACCCCTAATCTCACCTAGAAAGAAATGTAAAGTTGTTTCAAAGCATCGTCAGAGCTCAGCTTAAAAACATATTCCCTTTTAAAATTCACTGAATTTCACCATGGATTTATCTGAGGGTGCCATTACTGTATGTGCTTCATCCCACGGGTGCTACTTTACCTTCAGCAGCTCTTGATTATTTTTTTTTCTTTTTTCTGGGCATTTTCCTTTCTTTATGGCTGAATGTCCAAGTCTGTGACTTCTCACACCTGGCTTGGAGGCCATTGGGAATGAGGTCAGACCGCCACGCATTTAGGAATACTAAAAAAAAAAAAATCTAAACCCAGAGAGAATCCCTCAAAAATAAAAAAGTAAAAGTAAATACATGAGTAGCAAATGTCTGTGACTTCTCACACCTGGCTTGGAGGCCATTGGAATGAAGTCAGATGACCGCCACGCATTTAGTAATACTTAGCAAATGAAATTTGTCCTTTTTGAATGTCAGAAATTATGTGGGCCGATAAGCAATAGAGGAAACAGGAGGCTGTGTTTAAAGAGCAGGTTGAGGCATCACGGCACCGAGGAGACACCACGGTGTGTTCAGGGCAGCTCCATGCTCTCCCCGATCTGAGACCCTTAACAAGGGGGGAGGCTGTGTTTAAAGAGCAGGTTGAGGCATCGCGGCACCGAGGAGACACCAAGGTGTGTTGAGGGCAGCTCCGTGCTCTCCCCGTTCTGAGACCCTTAACGAGGGGGGATAAATACAGCAAAATGGCAAAGTTACCAGATAGGATGGCTGGGGTGGGGGGGGGATATATCTCACCTGAGAGATGGTGCAAAAACATGTCCCCATGGAAGTGCCATGCAATGTGTGTTCTCTGCTTCTCCAGGGCGTAAATAACTAATAATGTGTGTCCTCTGCTTCTGCAGGATGTGAATAACTGGTTTTAACTGGTTTCTGCAGTTGCTGGGGGGTGGTGGGACAGCGGGTCTCAGGGCATTGTCTCCCATGTGTTAGGGCCCGGAATTCATCAGGAAGCCTCCTAATATGCATAAGCATTTAATATGTTCTCTGTCTTTCCACCATAATTTGTTTTTTCTCCCCTTGCAGCGAGCATTGGCAGGAAAGGAAATCTTTGTTCTAAAAATAAAAAACAGATTAAAGCTGCCATTGTGGCCATTTAGTCATAACCATCTTGGAAATATTTATTTTTTATTTTTATTTTTTGGCCTGTTTAACTTAAAAGTAATTGTAAATCCTTCCAAGAAAAGCAAGCTGGGACCTTGCTTGTTTGTTGGGATAAACATGGATCCCTCAGAAAACAACAGGCATCGGGTATGGCTGCTTGAGGGAAGAGAGTTCCTCACGCTGCCTCCTGAAGCAGTTAAATTAACATTTTCAGATAAAGATAAATCTTTTAATTTACCCCTTTCTTAAGCAAGTTGTAGGGTGCAAACTCTGCTCCCTTTCTTTCCGTTCAGCTGAGCTGTTGTGTGAGTGCCTTTCCCTTTTGGCCCTGAGATAATGTTAATGAAAGTTTTGCCGAGATGACAAATTGTTTTTTAGCCGTTCCTTAAGAGGTACAGACATATTGCTGTATCTTTAATTTCCTCCCTTTGCTTGGAGCAGGAGCTCGCCGCAGGCATCTCAGTGACCACGTGTGGTTTACCCGCACAGTTCTTAGTGAGAAAGTCTGTAAAATGCAGACTTTTTTTTTTTTTTTTTTAAAAAAAAGCCATTATCAGCTTGACCGTCCCCAAAGTTACTGCAAAATATTTCATTCCATCAAAGACATTGTCATCCATCAAGGTATCTTGGGTCAAACCAAAGAAAGGAAAAAGGCACACTCATTTCAGCAGAGCTGGCTGCTCACCAATTCTCATTATTAAAGTTTCTTTCCAAGTTTTTTCTTTAGATTAATGAGTTCTTTAAATGATTGCAAGTCTGCTTGCATCCCAGCATTGATGGGTGTTCTCATCAGTGGCATCTTCACATCCTGCTCTCAGGCTGGTGATTAGAACCACTTCCCATAACGTATTTCTAGACAAAACCATTAGAAAGCAGAGGAAGCTCTAAGGAAATCTTGACTCCTCTCATTCAATTAAAACTTGATGTTTTTATCCTTCTCTTAAACAAACAAAAAAAAAAAAGAAAAGAAGACATTCTCTCAAGTACTAAATCCAACACACCCCCTATGGATAAACAAAGCTCCCGACAACCTCCTTGCCTGATGTGTGTATTTTCTGCTGTGCTTGCTTGGAGGATGTTCTGTTTCTCTGACTTTTCCATGGAAGAGCAAGAAAATGTTGTTCTGATGCAATGGAAATCATTTTTTCATAAAGGCCAGGATAGGGGAAATGTGCTGGACTCCTTTCAGAGTTTTTTCCG